CCCAGTTACTGCTGCTGCCTAGAGATCCGGAAGGGCGGTGTGAAGCTCCTCCTGAACCCATGGCAGACACCCTGTCCCATACACTTTTTACTGCAGTAGCATCAGCTCAGCTCTCTGGACATTCATCAGCTCCACAGCAGCCTGTGGCTCCAGAAGACTATCTGCTGCGCTGCTGCCAGATCATGAGGAGGAATTTCCATGTGTTGTCTTTTACCATTACAGGGGATAGTGTTTACGTGAAAACAGAGAATTGTATCCTCAGTTGTTGAAAACTACCCTTGGTCCATTCAATCCAAATGAGCTGCGATATTTTACATCAACTGATAAACTAACCTGCATATTTCTTCATTTACTATTATGCTTTTTGCTCTGAGAACTGTTCTGGAGTAAGAGAGCACATCCAAATTATCAATGTTTCTGTCTAGTCGAGAGGACACCTTCTGCCTCTGGGCATCCTGGTACTGTCAAACTACTGGTCACTGCATTCTTCATGTCAGCTCTGATGTCTGTTAGGGATTTTTTTCACTATCTTTTATCTTGTTTTTATAACTGCTAAGTGTCAACTGGAAGAAACTATGTGCCAACTAAACCTGCACTTCTTAGCAGACTGTTGAATGTATGCATACTTCAGGGACTTTCTTTCACAAAGTCGAGTGTATGCTGACCAGTTTCAGCCTGGACTTTGGCTGTGACTCACAAAACCCTCCCTTTTCTTTCTTGTCTCTATTACACACTGAACACACACTGCCCCTCTCTGCTGCCTGTCAGTCTTGGATTCAAGCTTCTGTTTTCAACTAATTCTCTCCAATATACCAAATGACCAATGAGCAAGAAGCCACTGAGAATGGGGAGAAAGCTACTGCAATGAGGAAGAAGAAATCCACCTTCTCTTCATGCAGGCTTTATAGCTTAGAAAATAGTTGACCTGAAGACCAGGTGACTTTGACTATGCACAGAGAGATACGGACATTTATGCAGACTTTGCATGACACACTATTTTCCATTTCATTAGACCTGCTACATTTTGGTTATTTTTTATTCCTAATGGATGCACCTTAGGCTGGCCAAGTTGGGAAATCTATGAACCATCTTAAGGAGGAAAAATAGGTCCACACCTTTTAATTTTACCGAAGTACATTGGATTGAGACATCATTTTTGGAAGAACAGAATGGAAACCCTGCAAATGTCTGGCAGAAGAATAAGCACTGTTCTTTGCAACAAGAAGAGCTGGCACAAAACCCTCCTCCTGGGACAGATCATTCGTTACCTCACTGACGTGATGGCTGAAGAAACACCTCTAAGGAGTGTAGGTTGTGCGCAGATTTGGCAGGAAGTAACGGAGCATTTGTGTCTAGCCAATTCTGGTTGAAGTTCATCCTGTACCAGCATGGACTATGATTTACCACCACCATCTTGTGTAGCTGTGTGAAATTAAATGGTGGCTCTCCAGCAGTATGTGCTTGCAAAGGCAAGTAATTGCTGTAAAAGACAAGAGTTGACTCCGGTTATGGCCAAAAAATTTAGTAAGCTTTAATTGCACCTAGGAAATCACCTCATATGCAGAACATGAGTCCTTGACAATGCTCCCGTTTTATATGGGGGAAGAGCATATTGATGTGAATCCCAACCTGGCAAAGTTTTTAATGGCAGACTAACAAATACTCCATTATTTTGTTCTACAGATGCAAAAAAATCCCTGCTATTCAATGTTATGACTCAAATCTTTGGAAATAATTATAAATCCAGCCCTGCTGCTGGTTTAATCCTGAGTAGTGCACATTTACCTGAGTTTTCCCTGAGCTGAGGTCATGTCTCCCAGTACTTCCATCCTCACTTCACTGCATCCTCTTTCATCTTTCCTCTAATAATATTCCAGCCTTCAGAAGTGACACATAATATATGAAGCACAGCTGTTACCTCCATGGTACAAATGTGCAAATTGCTGGGTAAACAATGGTCCGCATCAAATTTAGCACTTTCTGTGTGTCCCTATGGCTCTAAGACAACCAAGCATTAAGCTGATTATTAGCCCCTGTACAGAGGATCAGAAACCACAAGGTTTACATCAAACAAGGGTGGCTGTCCTGGGTTCAGCAGTAGCAGTCATTTTTCTCGTTCTTGGTAGCTGGTGCAGTGCAGTGTTTTGACTTTCGGCCTGGGAACAGAGCTGATAACAATGATGATTTGGTTTGGCCAAGGACTTTGTGAGCCTCATGCTCTGCCAGGGAGGAGGGGAAGCCGGGAGGAAGCAGAGACAGGACACCTGACCCAAACTGACCAAAGAGGTATTCCATACCACAGCACGTCATGCCCAGGATATAACGGGGAGTTAGCCGGAGGGGCTGGGAGACTGCAGGGTTGGAGGAGGCATCGGTCAGAGCTTGGTCGGTCTGAGGGGGGCGAGTTATCGGTCGGCTGGTGCTGAGGTGTTGTATTCTCTTCCCTTGTTATTTCCTTTATCATTATTATCATTGGTGGTAGCAGTAGTGATTTGTGTTATACCTTAGCTACTAAACTGTTCTTATCTCAACCCGTGGGAGTTGCATTCTTTTCGATTCTCCTCTCCGTCCCTCCGGGAGCAGGGGGAGGGCAAGAAAGGGGGGGAAGTGAGTGAACGAATTACCTGACTGGGTTTAAACCACAACAGTGGCTCAGAAAAATAACATTGCCCTTTCTGTCCCTTACTTACAAGCACCCATCATCTCTTCCTTCCTTCTCTTTAAGTGCACCTGGAGAGTTTTATGGCCACAACAGCTTCCCCAGGGGATACAGCCATTGCACAACTCCAATTCCCACACCATTCCTTAAGGATGTCTTTTACTTCTCAGCATACTGCTCACTGACACCTGCCCAAGATTTTGCTCCCTCATCACGGCTGATGAAGTTAAAGTTACCTGCTCATGAAGTTAAACTAACTGGCCAGGAAATCTACAGTTTCTGTTTTTAATAGCAAATAACAAATAAATGAATTCTGATCTAGTTAGCTCCTTCAGCTGGAATTCATCTACTGTCCCAGTTCTCCCTGAGCTCCTTTATCACAATGAAGGCAGTTACAACATATATTAGGGTTTTAGTTTCATTACACTAATATTTTGGTTCCTCTGTCTTTCTGATTTTAATTCCTACAAGTTGTTTCTACAAACCACCAACTTCTTTGATGCTTCCCATTTTCTGATTCATTCTTTTTTGAAATTAGGTTCATGAAGAGTTTCCAGGCAGCTACATTGGCTTTGTTCTTTTCTATTGATTATTCCAGCCCTATTAGCACATTCCAATTGCTTTAACATACACTAGAGTTATTTTTAGAGACTTCCATTTGCATAGTCACCCTTTACCACTAATAACCCTAAAGCCATGAATGGACATGTCTGCACAGCCTCCCTCAGATTCATTCTGTTCTGTGCTGTTGGCTTTATCAAGAGGTTTAGATCTGAGCCAAGTCCATAAATAACTTGCTGTGTATTGATGCTGTGATTACAAACATTGGCATTCTGTCACCATACAAATATAAGGAGGTAAGAGTGATCAACCTGGGTTACAAAAAGATCCATCTAGGTCAGTACCCTATCTTCAACAGTGGCCAGGAGCAGAGAGTTAGTAAATGGGTAGAGGAAGAGGCAAGCACATACAGTACCTCTCCTAGGTACTCTCTTAGCCTCCATTTATTTGCAGCTTGGGAACTTCTTCAGCCAGAAGTCTACTTACTCAGCACTCTCAAAGGATTTTAGTTCCATGGACTCATCCAGTCTTCTCCTCCTCCCTATGCTTCATCTTACATACAACACATGTACAATTAATGAGTAGTGCCACATGGTAAGCAAGATCAATAAACAGTCAAAATGCCACTCAAATACTGAGTAGAATCCCATTTCTAAGTGTCATATTTACAAACAGAATGGGATTAGTTTCTTTCAAAAAATATATACAGGGCAAACATTTGAACTAATCAGAACTACTGATTACTGCCTAGGTATCACAAAATATATCAGCACCATCAATGTGCTTTGCTTCCAAATGCCAGGTTGTAATTTAAAAAGGTTGGAGTTACAACAGCACAATGCATGGACAAAAGCACAGGACAATGAATTAAAATTCACTGTCAATATGTTTTAGAAGCAGCTAGGGAACTTTCAACTTACACTTTAATACTGCTTACTTACAAGTGGCATGCAAATCATTAAAGCATGTTTTACACATTAAGGAATTGAAAACTAATTGTTAATGGGAACATTTTACCAAATATTATTATGGTGAGGCAAAATGAACAGACTACTTACATGGTTCAGCAGAAAATAATCCCAATTTATACATAAAATTGACCTCCTTTGTTTTCATTTCAATGTTTGGATCATATTAGATAGCATCAGATCTTCCTTTTACTGTGTCTCTCCCAAGAGCAAGACCATACAGAAGCTAGTTAGGCTGATAAATCTACACAATAACCACCACATAAACAGGTAACTTTGGTTCATGACACTGTTAAAACCACACGTGTTCTTTTGCAGTTTTCTAGTAGGCACAGCCTAAAACATTAGTACTATTTTGCCGTTAAGTACTATAAGAGACTGGGTAAAGATAGAGCAAAACTCATCCTTCTCTAGAGCCTAGTCCAGAGCTCTTTTAAGAGAATCCATTCCCATTTCTCTTTTATAGCTGGAACTTCCCAGGAGGCCCAAATGCTCTTGGAGAGTAAGACAGATAGAAGTAGGTCAACCCAAGCTTTTCCTGGTTCCTGGTTTAACAGTCCAGCATGCAAATCAAGTCTGAAGAAGAAATGCACAAGAAGTGAGCACAAGACCAACCACGGCACAAAATAATGATACCAAGCTCATAGTCTTTCTCAGGTGAGAACACCTGCAGTATCTCTGTTCTCCATGATCACACATGGAGTTTTTAATTCATTTATTTATTTATGTCTTTTATGTATAGGTCCTTGTTAAAGAGCAATGAATCCTGAATAATATAAGTGAGAACAGAAACAGGCAAGTTATTGTCAAGGTTATGATAATCCTGAAATATTTTATTCAGCTGCACTTAAACAAATCATTCCAGACAAATACAGTTAGGCTCCAGAATCCTGCAAGTATTTAGAGAGGTTGATACTGAGTCTTCTTAAAAATCATATACAAAATATCAAATTTTATCATTTCATCAGCTACAAAACACCACATCAAAATTCCAGATCATATATACAATAAATCTTTTGAGAATGGATCACTGATATTTACAGATGAAGACATTTTATACATAGAACTCGGTCTTTGCACTTAATTAAAACAGCTTTGACACTTAAAGCCTTTTTACACTGTACTGCAAAGATGGTTTAGTCTTATCCATTTTCACTGAGGTACATGTAAATGCTGCTCTTTTTCATTCTGCAAACTAGAAAGGAACTTTAAATAAAGCAATCAAGTCCTGTAAATTTCCATTTAAATAAAACCCCTACAATGCAAATCCACCATAAAAGCAAGGTGTTAAAAATATATCAGAATTGTTCAAAGTGTCAGAACAGATATTTTGGTATATGTGATTTTTGTTCAGCTGCCATCAGCTTTGTCTTGAAAGACGGAAATATTTTCTGTCACCAGTCTGTACTCATCAGATTCAGGGTCTAAATTATCCAAGTAGAATGGAGATGAGTTTTGCCACCACATGTACACTGAGACTGTTTCCCAGAAGACGGTAGCATTGCTTTACTGTCACTTTGTCAGGAAAGCCTACAACAAAAACAGAGTGCAACACCATTAGTCTGGGTTTGCTCCTAGCTTTTAGTCTACTCCTTTGTTCAGGGAGCAGATCTTAATGCAGTAATCACAGACTGCAGCAGGGCTCACCCCCTCCCCCACCACTACCATTCACAAAGTTACAAAATCAAATCCCAACCAGCTCATGGGATTTGAGGGAATTACAGTTCTATGATGTGGATCAGTTCTTCCATTAGCAGCACTGCTAGCTCTCAGGTTTAACAAGAAGCCTCAGAACATTGCTCTATTGTATAACTAATGCTGAGCTCCTCTTCGTATAGTACAAAACATCCAGCAGTTGCAGGGAGGGGCAGCAGCACCTCAAACACAGCCCAACATCCATAGAAGACTGTGGCCGTGGCACAAAGAAAATGTGATGATTCTGCAGATGAACTAAACTGCATTTTTCAGTGAGCTTTATATTGTACTTCCCTTATGAGTCCCTCTAACCAACCGAGGCAAACAAATCCAATGAGTCTCACAGTGCAATGTACCAGTAGAGATGAAGCTACAAGCAAGGCTTATCCAGTGACTGGTGAAGCAGCTGAACAATTTTCCATGTAATTCAATGCTAACCCTGACAAATGCACTCAGAAATACAGACAGCATCAGAAAAGTCCTTCATATGGTAAGTGCATGGGCTGGCAAAAAGAAGGGAAGCTCAGAAAATAATTAAAATGGTCCGACTACTGTGAAAGGGCTCTGCTGTGTATTGAGCACACGGTCAAAGGTGAACAAACTTCCAAGTATGAAGAAGCTGTTCATCTGTAACTGTCATTGCTTGCACTCTTGGCTTACTCCAGCTGTGAGTTAAAGTGCCTTTAGCTTCAACCTGAGTGAAAGATGAACAGCAGTGGTGATTCAACTGTTAGGGTCATTTACCAAGCTGTTGAAACTTGATCACATTCAATTATTTGATCATTTCCCAAGAAGTAACACTTAAATCTGACTCCGAGATAATCACCACCCAGTTTAGCTTTGATGCATAGGCACACTGTGTGTAAGTAGTTATACGTGTGTCCTGAAATCTGCACAGCACTTCAGAAAAAGTCCTCTTCCAGGGATCGCTCAGGAGAGAACACGGTTGGACAGTTGCTGAGCCAGGGGGGGAAAGTTGAGGAGGAGGTGTCTGGGAGGCGTTGTTCCATCCTTCTGTGCCAGTTATTAATGCCTCAAACATGGACTACTTCGGTAAACACATCTTCCGCCAGCTCCATCCACTCTGCCCCGCCTCCTGGCACCCACATTTGGGCAACCGTTCCTGCTTTGGAACAATCACTTGCACTCCCACACACACACTTCCTTAGATGAAGTTTTTCATGTTACATCACTGAATAAGGTACAGAATCTACACATTCTAAAAGAGTACATCAAAATACCTATGTGTTTATGCATACACGTGACTTACTTATAGCCCAAGAAACTTACCAGAACCCTGAAAATTTCAGTTTCTCCTTCTGCCTCTTGGAAACTGAAAGCCTAAACTGATTTTCAGAGCTCCCATTTCCTTCTCCTCAAGGCTCCTCCATCTGCCTGCACACACTGTCTCACACCTTCTATCTTCTTGGCTCAAGAGTAGCCTGTATCAGAAGGTCAGATTTAACAACTCACACTACGCTGGCACTTCCTGCACAGCTCTCACTGCATCATTTAAGTTACGCGTGTTACTTGATGATGTAGTGGTCTTTGCAATGCACACTACCACACTGTGCTGGTTTTCCATGGGGCTGCCATTTGTTTCCTAATAGCTTACACACATCACAAATGGGAAAAATGGAAAAGGCATCCTGACATCCCCCCTCATGAAAGCAGGTCCCAGGTGCAAGAATGCTCTGATCACTTTTAATGGTATTGCTATGGGACCTACAGCAGCAACTAAGACAAATGACTGCAGTATTTCATTGACCTGCAGTGCAATTACTATTTACACATTTAGATGTTAAAAGCACAAATAAATCTGTTAAGAGCAGACAATAATTTTAACTCTGTATCTCACATACTGGAAAAGACCATCAGTTTGTTAAAATACAGAACCATTTAGAGACAATCATGTTCCTTCTGAGAATACTTTAGCTGCATCTAGAAACAGTATCTGTTACAAAGCTTCCTGATGTTCCCTTCATTTTCCACTTATAGTTTTCTCATTCTTAGCTCTTAGATCAACAATATACTTGCAGTGGGTACACCTCCAAGATTTCTGTTGTTGAAAATTTCAGCCTAAATGTTGCTGTCACTACAGAACATGGAGACAGAAATTACAGCATATTTCTCTCTGAAAATACCACACTTCACAATAATGACTTGAAATTTAACATGGAAGAAATGCTGTCAGGGAAACATCCTTTGTGTAGCCATAAATATAGCAACTCTCCAAAAGCCCACCCCATAGTTTGCAAACCCTCAGAAGATTATAGTACCTGAGATTATAGTACATAAATCCACCAAAGATTTCAATCAGCCTAAAGCTGAGTAACACCTTGGGGTTTTTAAGCACAAAGTAGGAAATGTCTTAGATTAAGCACAAAGGAAAAAAAGTCAGACTTGTGAGTCAATGCACTGGGAAAAGCTTGGTCTGCCTCTGAATCAGGAGCATATGTGAGTGGAAACCACTAGATGGGAAAAGCTTGTTTTATGTGTTCTGAAAGCTGGGGAAGTAGTATAGAGAGGCGGAGAACAGCCAGAACTGTAAAGAAGGTCCTATGATTCAGGCAGAAGGGTACTACCCTCAGAGGTGGAATCTAACCCTGTCCTTCCCTCCTCAGTTCCTGGGTCACAAAAGACAAATTTGCTAAATCAGCACTTCATAGACGGATGCTCTGGACGCTCTTCAAATTCAGGAGCATGACTTGTCTTTAGAGTTCAGTTCTGGTTTGCAAATATATTGAACCTCACAGCTGTCCCTAAAGATAGGCCCTGAACAGAGAAAGCACGGAATCATTCTAAGCACTCTGAAATAGTTAAGGTCAGGTTTCACAAACTCATCACCCATGGAATCTTCCAAACATAAATTTCTCCAGTGTCTCGGTCCCCCCCTCTGTAAAATACAAGCAATATGAACTCTACCACACCTCTAAGTGATGTTGCAAAGACTGATCTAACATTTGGAAAACACAAGCTGCATTAAAATAAATAAGCAACTTTGTGCTCAAAAGAGATCTTGAACAGCATGATTGTCAGTGCCATGGACAGTGGGATTGAGTGTGCCCTCAGCAAGTTTGCCGATGACACCAAGCTGTGTGGTTCAGTCGATACGCTGGAGGGAAGGAATGCCATCCAGAGGGTCCTTGACACGCTTGTGAGGTGGGCTGATGCCAGCCTTCTGAAGTCTAACCGTGCCAAGTGCAAGGTCCTACATCTGAGGCGGAGCAATACCAGGCACAGCTACAGGCTGGGCAGAGAAGAGATTCAGAGCAGCCCTGTGGAGAAGGACTTAGGGGTGTTGGTTGATGTGAACATGAGCCAGCTTCAGTGTGCGCTCGCAGCCCAGAAAGCCAACCGTATCCAGGGCTGCATCAAAAGGAGCGTGACCAGCAGGTCGAAGGAGGTGATCCTGCCCCTCTACTCTGCTCTCGTGAGACCTCACCTGGAGTATTGTGTGCAGTTCTGGTGTCCTCAACACAAAAAGGACATGGAACTGTTGGACCAAGTCCAGAGGAGGGCCACGAGGATGATCAGGGGACTGGAGCACCTCCTCTATGAAGACAGGCTGAGAAAGCTGGGGCTGTTCAGCCTGGAGAAGAGAAGGCTGCATGGAGACCTCCCAGCAGCCTTCCAGTATCTGAAGGGGGCTTATAAGGATGCTGGGGAGGGACTCTTCATTAGGGACTGTAGTGACAAGACAAGGGGTAACGGGTTCAAACTTTAGATGGGATATAAGGAGGAAGTTCTTTACTGTAAGGGTGGTGAAGCACTGGAATGGGTTGTTCAGGGAAGTTGTGAATGCTCCATCCCTGGCGGTGTTCAAGGCCAGGTTTGACAGAGCCTTGGGTGACATGGTTTAGTGTGAGGTGTTCCTGCCCATGGCACAGGGGTTGGAACTAGATGATCTTAAGGTCCTTTTCAACCCCAACTATTCTATGATTCTATGATAAACCTATACAAGCCCAATCCAGCCCTGTTTAGCTCATTTCTTTTCCTCAGCCTAAATCAACATAGAACAGAGCTGTGCTAAAAAAAAACAAACAACAAAACAAAACAAAAAAAACAGGCTGTCTGCAAAAAGAACAGATCTATTAAAGAAGAGAGTCAATGAAAAAAATCCTTTATGTTGGCATATAACTCAACACTGCACAGTCCTGCAAATATTCTGAAACAAATAAGCTTAGTGCTGGTAATTCTAATTGCAACCTTGCTAGCATTCTTTGAATGTAGCAATTTTGAATATTAATGTAAGGAATGAATGAGAAGACAAGCTAAAACTGCAAAAGAAAGAAATGTGTAAGGACTATTAGCACTCCTCAAAGCCCTAGGTCATCACGGAAGTCAAAGAAAAAGCATAACAAACTACTCAAGGTCAGTGGTGTCTTATTCTATGGATGCTTGTTTTGCTGAGAGACAATCACACTGATGGGATGGCAGCAGGCCAAGGTCCGCAGCAGCTAGTAACAGCTACACTTTCTTGCTTGCTTTTCTTTACAGTTCTGGTGAATTTATTTCAGGCTTAATTCTGGTTGACCTGCGTCCAATGCGCGGGTACTGCTGAGTCTCGTTCTTTGACTCCTTCGTCTTCACAATACCAGTTAGACAATGAAGTGACCAAGGGCTACGACTGCCTTTTCTAGAAAATAGAGATGACTTAAAAGATCATTAACTGAACAGTTTGGCTATTCTTGAACAAAGAAGTATCTGTATCTTCTGAATTTCCCTTTCTGTCAGCAGCTGCAAATGTGCGGAAGGGAGAAAGCAAGCAGCTCAAACACTGAGAACCACTAATAGAATTGCTAAAACTGGCAGAATATGTTGATTTACCAGTTGTCAGTAATGCTGGCTGCTGAGTAAATAGTTTGAACTTTAAACAAAGGTATTCCTTCATGCCGTTCAGTAATAGAGCATTTCTCATGCCGAAACTTTTTTCTTAGTTTATGAAGATAAACCTAACCACAGAATTTGCCTCTTATAAAATATAAAAACCTAGTGCAAATTCAGAGAAATTCAGGGTTGGCTAAATAACAACAATCATAAGAACTGAACAGTCGGGGCAGGGAGGGACAGCATGGGGGAGGGAAGCAAAATGTAAGCATGGGTTACTCCGCAGTAAAAAAAGTGCATTGGCATTTCTAAAGAATGATGTAGAAATAAGTACTTTGCAGCACGTACCAAATTCTGAAGGGAATCCATGAAGATTTGCTATTTCTCTTGGGGTGAAGTATCTAAGTTTTAGTGTTGACAATTTCATAAGTTTCTCTTCTTCTGGTAACTCCTCAATATGTTCAAATGCTGATTCAAGCTATGAAGAATATCCAAAACAACAGATATCACCAATGCAGGCCAAATATGTAAAATTTAAGTCACATCTTAACAGAGTATTTCTTTAACTATCACAGTTTGACCAAAAACAAAAAACATGTTTTGCTTGAAAGTACTACGGGTGGTGTATTTTCGCAGCCAACATCTCATCTTACGGACTTGCAAGAAATAAATCAATGTTGCCATGAGGGCATTCATCATTTCTTCCTCCAGTTGCATGCTACACCAATGCTTCATGAGGCAATAAAAGGACTAGAAACATTTGTTAATGACAGGATAGTGACTTAACATACCTCAATAGGACACCATCTACACAAATTGAGCTGTATGGATGCAGCTGTTTTAATACATTCACTTTAAGATTATTCTGAATTCCAGAGGTGCATTCTTCTTAAGCTTAGACATGCCATATATGAGTAAACAGCACAGAAGTGCTAAGCTTACTTTGTGGTGAACTTGGTATCAACAGTAGAACTTTTCAAAATTCTGTGTGTTCCCAGATAAATAATACATTTGAAATTCAAACGCATTGACTATTCAAACAATTTGACTATTTACTGGATCATACGTGCACAAAAAATGGCCCTGGATTCATGATACTGCACTGTAGTTTATCCATAGAATTAGCCATTTTTAATACCTTCACATACCCTGTGAAACCTCTGTATGACACCACAGATAATAAAATAATAGGAGCTCATTCTCCATACAGAAAGGTGCAAACATAATTTTTATCTAAATAAGCTGCTGTTTAAGTACACAAAGTAAATCAATTGGAAACTCAGATGCCACAAAGTGCAGTTTCAAAAGCTTTTTTGTTATAATATTAAGAATAAGAAAGCAGAAGGCTGAAAAAAAACCCAAGCCTTAAAATAAGTCTCAAGTTTTAAAAAAAAGAACTAGATGATCTTCAATGTCTTTTCAAATCCAAACCATTCTATGATTCTGTGAGAGTATACACATTCTTACCTGTACATCTAATGCTGTCTGCAGAACTGAGCCTGTCCCTTCTACATAGTGCCCATACCTTAAAAACAACAAGAACAAATGAGTATTTTCATCAGACCTCATAGTTCTGACAACTACAAAGATGCAGGGAGGTTGCTAAGGTTGTTTTGCTCTGATTAATAAAAAGCCTCCTGGATAGATAATGCAAAAGGCCTTGTTATTAACAATGCTATCCCATGGAGTGCAGTAGTCTCTGACCATGCTCTCTTGGAGATCAGCCTGTAATCAATGCACAAGAGTTTATTTACATTAATGCCTTATATAAGGCAACCAGGCAACTATACAAGGCCAAGGAATTCAAATGTAGTATCACCAGAAAGGGCGAGCTACATTGCACAAACCAATTTTACGCTAAGGCAAAATGCATTAAAGGTCCTAGAGGCTCAAACTGGCTCTCCATATTTGAAGGAGGACCACTAGGTGTGAGCCTCCAGCTTTTATATCACTCCATTAGGAATGAAAGGGTTCACTTGCGTTTAACATTTGGTTGTATGTGGATTTTCCACAGAGGGATGGGAGATGCCCAGGCATTTATGCAGAGCAGAAGAAAGAGACAAAAGAAAAAAACCCTAAATCCAATTGAACAGTAAGCAAACTTGCATTCTAAAACCATATGATAGCTTTTTGGATGCTTTGTGGTCAATTGTATAACAACATGTTTACCCTGCAATCTCCTCCAGGCTATCATTTAAATATAATTATGGGGTTTCAGAAACATGCTCTGCTAGTCTAACTACGATAGTGTTTGAATGTTCTGAACAGAAAAAGACTGAGTCAAGCCAACTGATGACTTCTGCACTGTGGAAGAACTTCAGGAGATCCCCTGCATTAGAGGGGTGTGGTCTACATCAATCATTTGAAGACACTCTTCTTGAGTTTCATCTGTGCATCTGTAAAGACAAGTATAAAGGTCTCTTCCTCCCACTTGGGGCCCATTCTAAAGCAAGGCCCCAGAACAATTTTTGTTTCAAGCCTTTCTAATTCCATGATGAATAAAGGAATACTCTCCCTTCCAGCACAGACACAATGACCCAGCATGGCTCAATCATGAGAATTTCTTCTTTAGCTGGAAAAGCCTATGAACAGTTCTGCCAATACCACTGAGAGCAACATTCGTTTTAAAATAAAGTGCTTGCAAATCTTCCTTAGGATCAGAACAAAAGGCCCTAAACACTGGTGCAGATTAAAACCATATGGAATAAAACCACCTTCAATTGGTTAGTTGCATTCTGAAAATTCCCTGTAACACACACAGCACTGAGGAATTCTGATCATCATCATCTTACCATATTTCAGATTAATATATCTGAGCCAAAATAAATAAATAAGGATAAATTTCAAAGTAGTATTTTAGGGTTTTATTGGGGGACAAGAATCTTTTAATAGGATCTCTGTTATAAAAAATACTCCAGTCTAAATAATTTGCACTAAAGAACCCTCCTCCCCCACCCCGAAATTCCCTCACACCCCCCCTGAAAAAAAAAAAAATCTAGTTGGTGTAAAAGTGGTTTGGGAACAGACAAGGGGTGGGGGTGGTGGGATTTTTAACACAAATGTGGGCAGATGGCCAATGTTAGCTCTATTGTTATTAATTATTATTGTAGCTGCTGACTACAGAAATATTAACATTCCTACCTTACACTCCGAACGTAATTAAAGATGGGAATTTTTGCCACAGTAAAACCCAATGCATTGATTTTCTGACATTTCATTACAATTATAATGACAGAAGCTGCCTTAAGAAATTACAATCTTCAATTTTCATCTGCCTCAAGAGCTTTTTTCACCCCCCAATTTTTGCAAGCTTTCAAAAAAAGCTTTTAATTTCATACACATGATATATTATTTCTGGGTATACTGTGTCTTATATTATGCCTAACAAAAAGGTAATTTTCACAACACTAGAGTGTTTCTCTAATACTACAATATTTTAGAAGGTATTGCTTCTTTTGACAATAGTGTCAAGCACTTGAAAGTCCAGAATGATCGCATCTAAAGAAGTAGTTCTCATTTGCTCTGTCCTTTTAAAATGGACAATCTCCTCTCTCAACTTCAGACAGTACAAACATACTCCTAAAAGAAACCACCATGTCTATAGTCTTAAGGAACTGAACAATCATTTTCCAATTTCCTAGAAGTCCAAGGTTGGAAGGGAACACAGATTCATCTGCTCAATCCCTCATGCATCACAAGCTATTACATTTTGCCCTATACTCCACCAAAGCCTTTAGAAGACTGGTAGGACAAAGGCAGAAAGACAAAAAGCACTGATGAAAAATTGGTGAATTAGCAAGGACTGGAAAAGGCATACCCTGATTACTCTCATCACATCAACCTTGATGGAAATATTTGAAAACCAATCAGAGAAAAATTTTTCTCCCATTCTCAAAGCTGATGATCAGTATCTTAGAGGACAGACACAAGGCAGGCATTTCAGCAGAGCTGTTTCTCTGTAGTACGTGGAGTGCTGTTCCGCTCCATTCACGGTCCTCTTTCCTAAATCTCATACTTTGGAAAAACATAAAATCAGAACTCCTAGAACACATACAGCAGAAACTCACTCTTGGCCTCAGAAAGTGATCTGGATGAAGTCCGAGTTGTAATTATAATCCTTCTGTTAATGCAAAGCTATAAATGGTATGATGCAAAAAGGGGGAAAAGCCTCTTAAAAAAGGGGAACAAAGGCAGTAAATCAGATTTCTACATTTTGAGCCAAGAACTACCACAGCTATCTGGCCCGGCTCCTTCCACATCAGCAGAAGTGCAACACTCACGTTCCACATCAGACTTCCCACCGCTATATAAGAAAACTCCGTATTAGCTACTCAGGAGCCTCCTTCAATGTGATTTTGATAAACATGACCACAAACTACCATGGCATATTCTAGTGAAACCACAAGTGGCCAATTTATTTTTGATGACACTCAAGGCATACAATAGATACAGAAGGGATCATTCTGGATTAAGGTTTTTATTTGACTATTCTAGTTAAGAAATAGATCCCATGAGATGCTGACTTCCCCCCAGCTCAAAAGATTGAGGGCAGAAAAGGCTTGTATCAATGGGAGCTGGGGGGGAGGGCTTTCCTGTTACACGTATTTTGAACATTTGACATTCTCTTCTCAGCTCTTTTAAAAGTTAAAAATCAAAAAAATCTGCAGGAGCTCTATCTAATTTCTATGAATTAAAAATGGAAGTTGTCATCAGCTCTAAGTGATCAACTATGTCATTTTGTTGAAACATTCTGAGAAGTCAAAACAAAAACCCAATCTAATTTGAAAACAGCTGATCCTAACATTTCCCCAAAAGTTCCAGGCCCCAACTGGCATTTTCCAATGCAAATGCATCCAGTGGAAAAGCTCCTACAAGCTGACTGTGAGATTTCAGAACTCACCAACCTCAAGCTGTCAAACTTTAAACTGCAAGGTACAAATCAGATAACTACTAGATAGAGAAGCACTGATGTTCTGCCCCATCAAATATGATTTGTAATGCAGCAGCCTAACTGGTTTTAGGACTTATGAGCAATCCACAGCTATTCTGACCTACACAGCTGAAAAATCCAAGAAATCAATAAAATATAGAGAGGAGAGTTTTAATGAGGAATGGATCTGTCATGCATGACACTGTAACTTCAACGAGCAATATAAAGAAATTCATTAATGAATCACTACTATACCAGTCTACTGGAACCATATTTCCGCAGGGGTAATTAAGCTTTTGTGAAGGTCAACAACGAATGGCACTGTCTTCTGTGAATGCCTTTCTGGAGTGGGCACATGATGTCCTGCCAGACAGATTCTCATGCTAGTATTCCACCAGACCAGTGAGCACACTGTATAAGAGGATTTATTTTTCAGAGGCCTGGCTGGTTTTGATGAAATGACTCTCCTTGTTTTTAAGGGAAGCAAACAAAAATACATTTAAAATTTCAGGCCATGATTCAGCAAGACATTTTCTTTGCAGCTTACCCTTTTGTAAAGCATGTGGATCTGCGGCAGGTGGGTTTAACAATGTCTAATAAGAAAGCATAGCGCAACAAGGACTTTGGTGGTATGAAATACTGACTCATTTCTTCATTTTCCTCTTCCAAGAAAGCTTTAAGCATTTGAATAGAGGAATCATTGTCCTGATCATGTTTCCTTTCCATTTCTTCTACTGTTTCAAGTTTAAACAGAAAGGCCCCTTTTGGTAAACTCTTCTTGCTGCTGCAACTGGGACCAATGTTTCGATCCAGATTCTTCTCTTCAGAACACAAGGAAGAAGAAGCTTCACCCACTTTGTCAGTGACTTTGTCTTTGAGTAAGTCTTCTAGATCCTGATCTGGGAATCTCGTCAATATCTAAGAACAAATTGTGAGGAAAAAAAAAATGCATTTGATAAACAACTTGACAGCCAACTCTACAGCGAGTAAGAATTCCTTCACAGATGCTCAGAATAAAGCAAGTAACTGTTTGATGTTATTTTCACGAAGATTTAAAAAACACATTAGCACCAAGGTTTGCTGACCTACCAGCAGTGGTGTCAGGAACAACCATAAATAATTCCCTTTGAAAAAAGACTTCCAAGGGTGTGAAAAGGATAGCAGAATGAACTGCTTTCTAGCCCACTATCAGCCATTGTCCCACAACTGTTTAAACCCATCTAAGCCACTGGCATGCATTTCAGTACTTAGAAAACTCAGTATCCATGCTGAAAAAATAAGACAGAATTTCACTTTTCAGTTGATATCACTTATCTCTCTCTTCACCATTAACACACACTACTAAACTGAAAATTTAACCCTCAATCTTCATGACACAAAGCAAATTCAAGTAACGCTAACAGACTCACCTGACCAGGAGCTTGAAAGGAGAATGGTTCTTGGTGAAGCTTTGCAATTAGAAAGTATCGCAGCCTAGAATTGGGAATGCCAAGCTGTAAGCAAAATCCACAAGTCCATGTGATAAAGGGACAAAAAGCGGTCTATAGTATCATACAAGTTATCAGCCACTATATATAGTAACAGAACTATTACACACTTAATATATTTTACGATTTCATAGGTATTGGTATTAACTGGTAATACCTAAACACTTACAACTTCCAGAACTAGGTTTTGTCAAGGAAACAAGTGGGCAATTATTCTTTGTACCTCATGCTTTTGACTTTGTAAATGAAGAGGAATGTAAACAAACTTTCATGACAGGTAAGAAGAAAAATTACATGCAGCACCACTTCTTGGGACAGGTAATACTTTTTTCTATAAAAAAGTAAAAAGGTGTCTCCTTGCCTTTTTGAACAGCTAACAATGAAACAAATACACCACAACTGGTTTTTAAGCTAACCTCTGTCAGCTTCTCTCAGATATATATAGCAGTTCACTGATTCCATTTAGTCTTGCACAATCTGAAATCTCCCTCAACTCTTTTCAGTTGCCAGGGAAACCTGCAAACAAAGCTCCACCTCCCACAAATAACACAGTCACATTTTCTGTGCTGGGAAATCCACAGGCATCAGCACTTCAGAAGCAATGAGGCTCCTGCAGGGAAAACCACCTTCCTGGTCACACTGTAAATTCATGCCTTCTTAAAAAATACCAAATGGTAGCACAGCAATATGGGACTAGATTCTGAACAGTAACAGCAGTATGATTATGCCAGTATAATGCTGAGAAATCAGCAGTCATGCCAAATAGCTTTCTCATCCAAGAGTATTTTCAGTTCTGGGCATGATTCTCTCTTCTAATACAACAGATCATTTTCAAATGTTCTTGGGCTCAGTGCAGTTTGAACAGTTAAATGATACTGGAGCAATTTTTGTACTCACACAGGTTGGAGATAAGAGAAATTCTTGATATGTAAATCCACATGTTGCTAGTGTTCGCAAAAGTTCATTTCTGGCAGTGAAAAGAGTCAAAAAGCAATAACTCTCTTTATACAACCTTTAGACCCTTTTTTTATCCTAAATGAAAACATATTAAATGCAACACTTTGGGTACCATGACATTCAGCACTATCAGGGAAAAACTGGGCAGAGAATTTCAGATATGAAGTCATCCACTTCTGAACTTGAGGAGACAATATACGAAGTTCAGTGTTACTGTAGCAAAAAATTGCTATTACACATTCACAGGTATCTCACAGGTATTTCAGTGCAAACAGCCCTTCAAAAAATACCCCCTTTAGAAAAGTACTTAGAGTGTGTCCACATGCAAAATAACCAGAGCGCACAACATTCTTTTTATTGTGAATTATAAAACAGGAGATTAAAACCACTACAAATAGCTCACTACTTCCCTCTGTCCACATGTATGTCATCAGCTAAGCCTAACAAAAAGGCCAACTCAAGGGATGACAAAAATTGGCTTTGATAAATGAGGTGCGACTTTATAAACTATACCAAAATCTTCTTAAAAGAGACTTATGTTTTCTATTCCATGAAGGTTGCACTAGGCTGGAACTATAGACCTATGAGCTGTACCTAGCACTGTAAGTCACATTGCACCCCAGGTGTTATTAAGAGAAAGCAAGCATCCTGACAGGGGTGTTTTCTGAACTATAACTTGTTCTAAACACTGGCCAGCAGCAAGGCATAGACTGGAGGGTCTACAGCAGCATCCTGCACCTTTAACAGAGTGTCCAGCTGCTCACAGCAGACTGCTGCACACTTAGCCAGTAAAAGAGCTGAACGTGCCTCCCAGCTGTCTGCCATATTCGTTAAGGAGCACAATATGCATGGTGGCTGCTGTCTTGGCGCTTTAAGGAATGCTATAGAAAGATCCTACTCTATTCCAGCCAGAAATGAGAAGGAAGACCACGATCCTGACTCCTACTTTGCCCACAAAAGAGGAGAATGCTCCTGCTGTCATCAGGTAACCTTATTGACAACTTTTCCACATTTCAGACAAAGGTTATATACAGTCTTCATACCATATATCTGGACACTTGGATGGCAACCCTGAATCAGTGGTAACCTACTATCAAGAAAGGTACTGAAGAAAGTCCCTATACTGTGCTGTGATTGTAACACAAGACACCATGAGCTCCTGGTCAGGGATAAAACCCCAAAACCTGAATGCTATATTTATTGTTATTTTTCTTTGAAAATTAATATTTACCCTTTCTAAAGCACACAGGATCATCAAATAAAATCAATGGAGTCAAACTGCCACAACATTTTATCTGCTTAAAGAAATAAATAGTTATTTATCAAATTCCTTTCACAATCTAAGATCTTAACTCCTAAACTAAAACGATACAGCTGCTATCTGTCCTATCTCACCTTACGCTGTTAACTTAAAGTCTAGGATATAGAAATCACACCTTCCCCTTCTAAAGAAAAATGTCCTTTATTAAAAACTAAAACCTGCATAAATTAGACTTTACCTTGCAGAAGAGGATTCAAATCCTTTAACGTTTTCTAAAAGTATGTATTTTGGAAGCTTCTGAAGTCTACACAGGAAAAAAAAAAAAAAAAAAAAAAAAATCACAAAGCAGAGTAACAAGATGTAAACTACATTATATTCATTCACAGATTTGTTTAGCTACAAGAAAGATCAAAGTATTTCCACATCATGCTAGCTGCTAAAGTTTAGCATCTTTAAAGTATCTCAACTTTCAAGGTTGCCTAGCTGAAATAATTCCCAACTGAACAAAAAACACGGACTGCCGGTGATTACAAAACCCAACAAAACCCACTTATGTTCAGATGGACTGCTGTACCCTCCAGTACCCCATGCATGTACTTCTGAAAATGCTTACCACTGTTCATTTCGTAAAGTATAATCTTATTACTCAACAGATTGAGTTTGTAATAGGAAAGATAACTGTTTGCGGTGTTTAGCCATGGAACAGAAAACTTTTGTTTTAAAGTGCTTAAACCCAAAACCAATGTCAAAATGTCACATCAGCTTTAGTGACAACACATCAGAACCAGTATTCATCTAACTGCTTTAAAAAAATACAATGTGCTTACAGCTCAAACTGCAGATATTCTGTTTTCTACACTTAACTTTCTCATTTTGATGGGGGAAGGGAAAGAAGACATCTGAGGTTTAACAAGATCAGTGCAGTGGAAATAGGCTCATTCCAAAACCAGTGTATTAAATCTCTGGAGAAAGGAACATGCCCAAACTGTACCAGTGACCATTCCAACAGTTTAGAAGCACAGATGATATAAGTCTCTGGGAACATTCCTTGACACCGATCAATTCTCTAATAAAGCTAACGTAGACATAGTATGTCTGCCACACACTGGGATCTGAAAACAGCACATAAAAACAGAATACAAATGCCACCAGAAAGTGACTTTGGACTTCCACTGGTACAAATCACAGCAGAATTTGTTTTAGTGTGTTCTTAACTGCCACTAATCACAGACATTCAAATGAATTAAGGACATAAAGTGCTTCACAAGAAACTGGGAAACGTACAAGATACTACATCAAATTTAAAAATACTCAAAACAATGCTGAAAAAAAAAAACAAAACAAAAAACAAAACCCCTAAACTGAAAATAAGCAGCAGCAGCCAAATTCCCTGCAGAGGAATGGAGAACATATCCACTGGTATGCTTACCCACACATTACTGTCACCTACTTTAAACCTTATTATTAAATTAATGAATCCAGAACATAGCCTCAAATGCAAGAACTCATGCAGGATCAGCAGGTCACAAGACAAGTAATCACTATACAAAGAGTGTTTTAAGTACTTGGCAGGTATTAACACTACAAATGTTCCTGTAAAAGCAGAACTTTTTTAGCATTAGATTTCCTGGGTTATGGCTTGGACACAAAAAACAGACAGTATCCAGACCATCTGGGTCAGACTCTGCTTGCTGGCTGGGTACTCCAAGGATTTCACAGGTCTTTCCAGATCTTGAAACTGTCCTTTCCAGATCTCTAATATTTGTCTTCCCAGGTTATCTGTGAGCCTCATTTCTGTGACATTTCATTAGAAATGGCTGCAATAACCAAGGATGAGAAATCGTATAGCTTCCATAAATTAATAACTCATGTTGTACCAATTTAGACTGCAAAGTAGTAATTCCTATATTAAAATTTTCCCCTTTTTGGACTAAAATACTACATACTCAATGTCTGGCAAACATGTCATATCCAAAAATTACACAAACACTATCTTGTTAAAACATATATCTATTGGAACTGAGAAACCCTGCAGAAGCCACCATCTTGAACGTATTACAGACGTTCAAGCAACCTGCCCAAGGGAGATAAGGGACATCACAGGGTCTCGTGAGGCATTGAGATAAAGTGCCACAGCCAAGCCCAGCTCTTTTGCATCATCATGATGGAAAACGTATGTCCTACAGTGTCTAAAGCTTTGGTTTTGAGAAAGAAAAGCTTCTGACCTTTATCCAGCCAAGCCCACAGCAACCAGGAAGCTACATTTCCACATTCACGCACAACAGCAATGTCCCCAGCCTCTTAACTGTGTCTCAGTTTACCAGAAAGGAATACTGAGGTCAGGATCCCCTTAAGGGTCAGGAAGGTAATATTATTCCATACTATTATATTATATACTATATTATTATGAGAAAGATATAAATTATTAACCTACACACTATCTGCTGGTTTTAATTTTTCATTTTGAAAGTTCAGTCTGGAAGACCGACTTACATTCCCTGTTCCAAAAAAGATATCCTTCACAACTTTTAGATGCCCACGTTACCTCCCAATTTTTGTGCCTCTGCCAGAGGCCAGGGAGTAATAGTAATAACCTTTCCTTTTACCTATTTATTGTCTAACTTGCAAGGCTGCAGAATCCATACTGTGTTCTGCTTTGTGTTCTCTGCCAAGGATTTCTTAGGTGATCCCAGCCAAGCCACTCAGCCCTTCTGTGTCTGTGCTGTACATTTGCAGATTACAAGGGCAAAAAGGTAGTCCCATCTGATGGCTGCAAAAAAGTTTCTTCTGGAAGAAGGATGAAGACCATTTCCCCCCAGGGTTAACAGCAGTTTGAAAGAAAGGATGTTATTGGTAAGGGTTTCCTTCAGTGCAGAAAGCTCTCAAAACCAAAACAAACAAAAAAAAAAACCAACCCAAACCCCAAAACCAACCAAAAAAAACCCCAACAAAACAAACCCAACCAAGAAAGCCCCAAACAAAGAGACAGGCAACCAAACCTCCTTTTCTCCTCCTTCAATTCTGAGAGCAAGATTAACCAATGAGACCCCAGTGTTTATCTAGAGAACAGCTGTCCCAGGCTCCAGCAGACAGGGGACTGCAGGAATGGTAAGTGTCTGCTGGACTGTAACTGACAGAAATTCCCAGGCTTATGCTAATTGGTACCCAATGAACATCTCAATCCAGAGGCAGAGATTTCTGCTGGATAAATCTCCCTGAGTAACTGCTTGCTCCACTTCCCCAGGAAAGATTCTTACAGTGCTTTGTAATTCTTCCCAAAAAGGACTACAAGCATTACAAGGCATAAGTAATACAAATAATTATGGCTATTAGGAACTGTGATTTAACTGGGAAAAAATGACAGATCAATAGAAAGACAAGGGCACTGTTCAAGCAACGCAGGGCTATTTGAATTCCTTAGTATTACTTTCAAAACAAGGGACTGTACTATAACCAAAAATAGATAATCTGACCTAAGATATCTAAAAGTAGCACCAAAAAGACATAATACAATTGAAGAAAGAAAACAAGGGGACAGAAGATTGTGACGTCAATAACATATTTAAACAAATTTTCAAATGCTACCTAGTGAATAGGTGACTAAATATTGAATTAAAGCCTTAACTTGGTATTTCAAATAATTTTCATTTTTCCACAATGCCCATCAGCAAACTACTATACTACCTACTCCTGCCTCTACATAAAGTCAGCGCAAGTTTGATGTTGAAAGGAAAATAACTCACTTTCTTAATTTATGATACAGCCACAGTTTAAACAGAAACACAGTAAAAAGCAAACCAGACAAATGAAAACATATATAGTAACCAATGTGATAATAATGGCAATAGTAAAATGCAAATATTATATGTTCATGTGAAAACAAACAAGTAATACAACACAATACTAGCTGTACCCTTGTAAAATGTTATAGCAGACTTGTCTCACTGAAATATGAAAGACATACTTAGTTACTACAAAGGTCTTAAGAACTGAGGCAGAAGTTAATTCATACCTTGGGAGAATATCAAGGATATAGAGAAAGCTCTTTGTCCGTGGATCGGATATATCACCTTGCAGGCCAATTCTAAGAAAGAATCAAGAAACATCTGTGTATTACTCAGAGCAGACTGACACTCGACTTGCCTTTTTCTATAGAATGCTGACACATTTTGCTTTCAGTTTCAAAAACAGACTCTGCAAAAGCATCATGTACACACATAGAGGAGCTGCTCGCAGAGGCAGTGTCCAAGGAATGCTCTGAGTAATGAAAGGTCTGTCCCTGGAGTTCCTTAGCTCATAGGGAGGTTAAAATTGAAGTATTTAGTAAGGAAACCCACTCCCAAATCTGCAAAATGTTCAGCATTCTGGTCTTGTCCAGCAAACCCTTTGAACACACTTCACTCTGAAAGAACAAAAGAACTCCACTGGGTTCCTGGGAACACCCCACTATTTTACATTGAATATACTAAATGACTTCTATGATTTAAAGCCTCAGTGCTCACTACTTTGCAGGACTGAGCCCCTTGTGAGCAACCTTGTAAACAATTTTGTAACATCAATCTGGACAGCTCCTGTAGGTTATAAAAATTATGACATAATAGAATGATTCCAGGACTGTGTTCCCTAACTTATACCTGCATTAGCTCTTGAAAAAAAGAAAGCCTTGGTAGAAGAGCTTCAGCATGTCTTTAAATTAGACAGACATACATTTTTCTTTTCACAGTATTGTTGTTGGTTTTTTTTTAAAGAAGAAAATTATTCCTATATACATCATAGGTTTGCAAAAATACATTTTTACAGATGAGCACTACTTTGGAGAGATTTCTTCTCAATATCAAAGCACTCAATAAAATGCACTTTCTTACACAAGCAGTTTCATCACCATACACAGACTTTTTCACAAAGATACTTCTTTTCATGAGTACAGTTACTTGAATCTTACCTCCACTGGTCACTGCTGTCAAATGATATGAATTTGAAACCAATCTGACAAATAACCTCTCAGTAAGTTCAGTTCTTAATCAGGAAAATATTTCTCTACATTAGCCACAAAATCATTTTAAGGACATTATTACCCTCCTAGTCTTGGCTAAAATAGGAATATTCCTCAGAATAAACTATTTTTGCGCATGTGCACTTTTCAAAGTATAAATAAAAACAGATTACAAGAATTGTGATCGATAATTAAGATTCACATTTCTGCATTTCTCCCACTTCAGTAAACATCTCGGTGAACAGAGGTGCAACGTTTTTGCTTAGCAAGAAAAAGATACCCAGATGAACCACAAATAGTGTCACTCTTGAAAATATTTCTCCTTTAACAGTACATACTGGAGTAACTGCACTTTAGTGCGCTGTAACTACCTTGTAAATGGCTGACACGGAGGACTCATCAAAATCATATCAAAACATAATCTGTCAAATTCTTTCAGTGTTATGCCCTGAATAAGGAAAAAAAAATAGAAGAATGTTGAGTGCTGTAAACCACATGAAACTCTCAAGTCATCTTTCAGAAGAAACTATTCCTCTTACTCCCATTATATAGTTCATCAGCAAAAAACTACCTCATCTCCCATTTGACCTAATAATACAAATATTTTCTACCTTGGCAAATCATACAATGCAAATATGCATTAATTGCTTTGAAAATGAACCAAAACCACTAAGGGTGTTAGTTAGCATCTATATGCAAACTTGAGGTTTTTATATACCCATTCTTTCAGAAAAGGCGTGTAGTGACTCTTGCAGTAGATCACACTGAGCTACTGACTCGTTATGTCTCCCCATCCCTCCTCCAAATAAAGTATCATTTTTCATATATGAAGCCGTTGTACCTCAAAACCAGTATTAATATATTCAAAACAGGTAAAAAAAAATAAAGTTACATCTTCTCAAAAGACAAAATATCTGAACAGGAAAGAATCTCAAGTGTTAAACATCATCATTTTTATAGGTCCAAATTGTGGGGTTTTAACTATTAGGAGCTCACTACCCATGTATCCTGTAAAGTTTACTGCATTCTAGTTTTTATGCAGTAAAAACCCCTCAAAGATACTACATGGCTGAAAGCTCTACTCTTAAAAAGAGTGTCTGTTCAGAGAAGAAAGGCCTGTGGCATGAATTAATTACACAGTTAGAAGTTTCTCTCAACTAAATTTTAACGAGCACTAGAAGGGCAACATATTAAGGGGCCAAGGACAGAAGGATAATGACCAAATAACTATGAGCTGGACAGAGAAATCACTGCCTTATGTATTTTGAGGTGTATCTATATAGCAAATGTAACATAACTGCCCACAAAGTAGAGAAAAAAAGCTGCCTTTTTTTGTTTTTTTTCAAATAAATCTAAAGATCTTACTGACTCTAATTTGCGCTTATCTACTGTAAGAAGACGTGGTCAAGCATTCTTCTTTCCCCATATAAAACTAAACTGTCATTCAGAGTGTTACTACTGAGTGCTGAATAAGCATTTAACCTTTAGCCACCTATTTAGGTATTACATAAGCTGGTGTCTTACATATCTTTGTCATGTTGTAAAATTCAAAGAAGATCAAGAAGCATAAAATAATTTCTAACTAAACCCAGGGAAAAACACCATGCCTAACTCGCTCCTCAACTATTAAAACAGAGTCCAATTTTACCTACAGTCTTCTTCAAATAATTTGGACAAGAGACAACTCCTAAAACATTTGATCTATTGAGCCTACAAAAAATTTCAAGACTGTCCCATCCAGTATATTTTCTTGTGTTTTACTGAGCTGAACTATAACTACAAAACAAAGCCATGCCTCCAAGTAATTTTATTAAATTCTTTCAAAATACATGAAAATATTTTCTTTTAATCTAAAAGTATGATTTTTGTCATTCCTGTATTGGTGATAGACATTCCTCTTGATATTCACATACACCTCCTTAATACAGCAGTCAAGACTTTCAGGAAAAGACTGCAGTGTGAGTATCTCTCCAACTCTGACAAAGAACCATGGCACAAGAAATCAAAGTTATTGTAAAACTGATATATTCATAACAACATAAACTAAATATTTATGTTTCTCTTATTACTGATAAGAACAAGGATGAGAACTTACTATGACAAATGCCAGACTAGAGTAAAAAGTACATTCATCACTCACCTCAATTGTCTTTGCCCATAATGGCGTGCTGGGAAAGTTGTACTTGTAAACTTCATTGGCAAGAGTGTTCACATCAACAGCAGCAACAACTTCTGCAGATGCACAGCTTTCTAAAATTAAAAAAAGAACTTTAAAATTGCAGCCCCTTTTTGCAATTCTTGAAAAAATGTGTTTGTTCAGCTGCATTGCAGCTATGCTCAAAAATAAAAGGGAAGTTACATGGCCAAACTCTGCTGTGCTGCCTTTAATGATATGAAAAATACACTGTGTTTCTAATCATACAGCAAATACTTCCTTATATATCCAAAAACGGGAGCTAACTGCGCCCTTTATAATTTCTAGATACAGCCATACATAAACCCCAAACAGGGTGCATCTTTACAACTTCCCCTCCTTCACCCAGTTGGTCTCTGCGGCCATCAAGATCCTCAGCTATAGGAATACAGTCAGCCTGCCAAGCCTCCCTGCCACAGACTGAAGCTCTCCAGCCACTGACAACGTATAGAAACTAAATGTGTTATTTCAGCAGTATTCTACTTCTCACTGTGAAAAAAAAATGGCATCAATAAATATGTTTGAAGTATATCTACTCTTACAATACAACTTTAAGAAGTTGCCTGAAATCAACTGTGCTTATGTTCAAGTAAAATCTCAGGCCTTGAACACAACTGCTGCCTCCTTTGAGTTCAAGGTAGTCAAAACACCAAACGCCTTGAATGTATCTCTAGGTATCAAAGGAAGTACGTCTGGACACTTAGAGGCACAACTGAAAAGAAGAGAACACAGTGTAACAAATCTACTGACAGATAAAATCCTGAAATAAAAATACACTAAAAAGAATGTAAACAAGTAAAGGTTAATTTATAGAGTAACAGAACAATAGTTCCTGCAGAAGCCAAAGACATAAAAAGAACAGTATTTAATCCACTGCTTTATCATGTGGTTAGCAGTAATAAATAGTGTGACGATACCTTCACTGAGGCTTTTTATCCAGGAAGATCGGCTGTGTTCACTGTTATAGCCACAAGCAGAAAACAGTGACTGTACTTCCTGATATACAAGACCAGTTTCAACCACCAGGAAATTTAGATTATGGTCACATTAAAAAGCCACAGATGAAATTCAGGCAATTTATAAATTACATTTGAAAACCAAAAGAAACAAGGCAAATAGCCATATGCCTTTGAGAAGTCTCACAACATGCTCAAGTAACACATTAACAAAGGAACTCATGCGACGTCTTATAAATTGCTGCTATTCAGCTGATTATTTACAGTTTGAGAGGATGAAAAAACAACTGTGATGTCACTAGTGGATTTAATTTTCAATGATGTGGTTATCACCCATCTACTACCTTTCAGATTTTCAAGGCCATCTTATTCAAACCAAGATAAAAGAAAACTGTTATTGGTAAGATTGTAGCACACATTTTAACAAAGACCAGCCTGGTTCTCCTGAGCTTACTTGATGTAATAGAGGACAAAAAGAATAGGAATTTCACAAGAAAAAGACCTACAGATGACCAGCTACTCAATAGGATCAACATACAAATCATTATTTGCAGTTACTGTCTTGACTTTTTGACCATTAAGTGTAACTGAAGTATTAAACACAGGTATATCCATGAGGACAAGAATGACACCTGAGATTACAGAACAGGTATATTAACACTGACACCTAGCGTGAAGAGAACATCCCTTAGCAGGCTGACTGTCTCAATTTACAAGCATATTCAAGAACCAACACCCTTATCTTCCTAAAACAAAGTTGTAGCACCTAATAGGAACAAACTTCAAAACTACTGTTTAAGAGACTGCTTTTCTCATTTATTCTTTCAGTTCCTAAGAAGTTGATCCCTACTACATGTTCCAGGCATTCCAAAAATAAAAAGAAAGAAACTCAAATTATGCAAAATAATACGTGGTTTAAAAATGACAATTGGAAAGGCAGGCACTGTACTTTTTCTCGCAACTCAAGATTCTGATGCTCATCCTTTTTACTAACATCAATCCAATCTCTCCCTGCATACGAACAACAAAAGAAAGAAGTACTGGGGATTTGCATCAAGGGATTTCACAGGCCTCAATGCCTGGACTTACTGAAAGCAAGTATGTAGCTAATAGCCATTTATTAAATCCCTTGCAATACAATGCTCAGTCTAAACCACAGATGTTAACCAGCATGTAAAAGGCACGGGAACTTTTCCTGAACTATTCCATCCAACATCCTCTCTTCCCAATTCAAAGATCTGATAACTTTTCCAAAGCTTTTCACTCAAAAACTGTGGCTCACTTGGGAGTTCCTGTCACAGAACAGACTCCCTCTAACAGCTGATTAAGCTTATTTGTGCGGAAATACCCTAGAAACGCATGAAGGAGCTCGAGCAGACAAGCAGATCTCACACATCCAACCTAACAAAGAAAAGCTTGTGTAAATTTCAAACAATGTTAAAATGAAACATTTTAAAAGAACTGCTCCTCCTGAAATGTACATAACTTTGATGTCAAGCTGTGATATTTGATTTTGCTAAAGCAATTATCTCTATCACTTGAAAATGACTGTAGGAATGTATCATTAAAAAAAGACTAAAAACCAACAGAATCAAGACTATATTTAACTATCTCCACTGACAAAAGGCACAAAAGCAGCTAATAAATATGAAAATGCCCCTGAATTGCTGACTTAGTGAGGTTAAACCAATCCCCCAAAATACACAGCAGAAGAAACAGACACAGCTCTGGAGACTTTTTTTTTTCCTCAGAAAAACTATGTCAATTTTTCAAAACAAAGCCACTTAAGAGAATTAAAACTCCGCACTACATTAACTGTGTTTAATTAAGTTAAACAATATTATGCAGACTAAGGAAAAACTAACACACATTTTTCTAAGTGAAACTAAGTAGCTGCTGGGATACTTGCTTTACAATATTCCTCAACACCACCAAGACCACATTTCTGGATGAGATGTTGTAGCTCAGATGGAAGCTACAGACATGATGGGGAAGTTACTGAGGGAGGTGTTAGGACTTATTTTTAGGCAGACTAAATTGTAGTAACCTCTCTTGGCTGAAAGCAGGTGAACTCAAATTTGTACCTCCTATTAACGAAGTATGATTCTCCACTCGAGGCTTAAAACCACTAGGATTCACACAGAAGAAACTCTTTTACTGTTATTCAAGTTGCCTAAAAAGGCAGCAAACTTTGGGTCCCAATTCTCTATTTCATTGCACACACAATGCTTATGAGCCATTTTAGCTATGTAGCAGTCACTCAAGTGAAAGGGATGATGCTGTAATGATTGTAAGGTGTGGCATTTGAAACAAAGGAAAACAGGATACATCCATTAGCTTTCCGATTTGGAAAAAAACCAAACCCTACGGGTTTCATCTTTAGATCCCAAAAATAAAATTTCTCACATTACAGTACCTGTCTTTTTCCACTTCAGAATCAATTCCTTTACTATGTGTTTCTGGCAGACCTTAAAATTAACATAGATCTGTTTATATTCACCATTGTACTTTTGTAATAGAATTGTCAATGTCAACAGAGCACATGAAACACAGTGTTAAACCAAGGGCACAGCCTGGCAGATTTCAGCATATTGGAAAATCAGAGCCAGAATCTTTTCTATCAGGTATATGGAAACAGATGGAAAAGGGAAGATTAGTCACATGATTTGTTAGTCCTATTTCCTTTTAAAACAGAGCAAAGATTTTATTTCTGAGTTGTCAGCTCTAAGATGAAATGATTAGGCTGAACTGCCCATGGCTACAGCAAACACAACTATCACTGATAGTTGCTTCCTGCAGGATACTTAATGACTTTTTTCACTGCTCTATTTGTATAGGATTTGTTCATAGTCAGCTATATAAATGACATAAACTTACATGTCAACACAAGCGGCACCATCCTGTATTAAAGGTGTCTGTATTTTAGAGAACAACTACAGCAAAATGAGTTTAGGTGTAAAAACCTGCTCAAAACAGGCATATCTTTGTTTCGCATTGTGCCAAATCCCAAGGCTGCTTGACAGTTTTGTCTCTTTTGCCTCTCCTCCTAAGATAGCTATGCTCTGTGTAATTTCAAACACCAGTTTATTATGCTGTGCAATCCACAGAGATAATGAAATAAAATCAATAAACACAATGACAGAGTACAAGAGACTCAAATTCTTACTCTGTAAAATCAAAACACAACAACTGCAGAGAAAAAATGCCACCAAGTTCAATGCTGCAAAATTACAGTATTTTCTAAAAGAGGTCCTTTCATGCACAGAGACATTTTTCAGTGACCTGGCAGATTACAAATGCTTGCGGCAAAGACCTGGAACCCATTTTTCATGGGAACACTGCCTAAATTAATAAGCCAGTTTAAGTTTGTTTTGGTTGGGAATGAGGTAGAGCAGGCTGTTTGTTTCACGGAAAGTTGCTAAGGAAATGAATTTGTAGCCATAAGCTTTCTAAAACTAAACCACTATACTTCATTGCAGAAACTCTGCACTTGATGTATAAAGAATACATTCACACATATATAAAGTATTGTATGTTTAGACATATATGATCTAAACTTCAACCTTTATATTCTCACAAACTTTAGGGCACAGCGTGGGAAGAAGGAAGAAATGCACTCCCATCTGCTTCAATCTTTCAAGAGTGTGAATACGAACAGATCAGCTGACTTCTGATCTTAACCAAGCTCAACTTTCTAAATTATATCTTTTTACATACCTAGAATTCAAAATTCTGCATATCTTGAATTATCTACAACTCAAATATCAACACAGAGCTAGACAATGCCCAAGATTTGTCTTCTTCACTTCTGAACTGAAACCTAAATCAAGAACAGCTTTCTTTTTCCTGTCAAACAGTGCCTGATTCAACTATGTATTAGTAACTTCTATGTACTGTTACTGAAGAAGTACTTAGAGTAAAAGCTTCCATGAATTTATTAAAATTGAATTATTTCCTACTGCAGGCAAGGTCAATCTCTAAAACCAATTGCATACTACTTGGTGCCAAATGCATTCTACTGTAATGACAGCTGCCAAAACAATGAACATCCCCATTCTGCAAGTGTAAGTACACATGCTGTCCTAAATTAAGTTTAGGAAAGATCACAGCCAAAAAGGGCTTCCAGGTAGAAAATACAGTGCCAGATTTCCTCAAAAACACCCATTTGCCAATAGAAAACACTGCCAATTTCACAGAAAAGTAGAAGGTTGGACTAGAACTGTTAAATACAACTGGCCACAAAACTGGCTATATGACACAGCCAGGAACCAAAACTGAGACAGAACTTGCCAAAGCTGCAGAATGCCTTTTGTAGAACAAGTAGCTTTCCTGGGATGCTTCCACTTAAGTATTCTATGCTCTCGCTTTTCTACATGTTCCTATTTTTCTTGGCTATATAGATTCACTAGAAAGCATACCAGGAAAACAAAGTATTATACATAACCTTCATCTCTCATGTACCTGCTTTATGAAAGCACTGGCAAAATAGAAGTTTTTCTTTCAAGCTTCCTACTTATACGGGGAAAACAAACAAACAAAAAAAAGCCTTCTAATATTTCCATACTTAATTTAAATGGAAGATGCCAAACAATCTGCCATTTGCTAAATGATATAAAAGAAACCTTTTTTTTTTTTAGACATTTCCAAACAGCATGGTTTCACATCCACATACAGGCCAAAAACATGTAATAAACCCTATTATTAAACTAGTTACAGAGGAACATTGACTTTTTTTCTGTCCTATTTCCACACAAAAGCAAACACTTAAACTCCCGTGACTTCACTTTGTCCCTTTAGAAACTGTGTAAGAAAACTGAATCCAGATTTTTATAAGACTTAAAAAAGTGAAAACAGCAGAAAGGATCAAAATGCCTGACTAGACTGGCATTACTGAATGCAATACAATTTATCAAAACCAGTTTTGTATGAAGACTTGTCATTAAATGCTTAACTTGGTGCAAACTGCATGGAATCCTTTTTATTCAAATGGCCTAATTATTAGTGTCAACAACACCCAAACCAAGATTTTTATCTAGAAGTGTATGGTTTTGAATTTTTTCCAAGACAAGACAATGCCTATGGGCTGAGTTCTTATAGGCTTCCCAGAAAAATAAACACCCAGATTTGAAAAGAAGTTATACTAACTGTAATGTAAATAGCATTGTTATCTATCCACTTTGCAAATTTTAATTGGTATTTAACCATTTAGTACTATCTAGGGTCATTTACACAAATAACAACTTGCCTCTTCTTATACACCGTCTCTTCATCTGCTTTGGCTGGTGCTACTACAGAAGAATATTAGTCTCACTATTCACATCTATTGTAATTTCTTCAGTCAAAAGTAAGCCCTGAAGAACAGAAATTAGAACATACAATAATGCTGATGCAGTTGTGTTCAGCAAGTTCAGAAACAGTAAGCTTGGAAATAAATTTACCGTTTCAGGAAATAATACAAGGGTTCTGGTTAATTCCCTCACCCTATAAACTGCACAAAAGGTGATACATGATCTCAAGCCTTCATGTGCACAGTTAACTATACACTGGAACATCTCTCAATCAATGTAACTTTTAGATACAAGTTTACAGTATCTAATAATCTTCTAAGGCTGCATTCTCAATATTCCTATCTTTACAAGTATTTGTTATGTTGCAAATGACATCTTCTTAAGTGGCCATACACATGGTATCACATCTGACATTACAATTTGCTAACTATTGCAGCACATTATCAAACATCTATTACAACGTGAGGAACATAGCTAGATAATACTCAGTGAAGAGTTGCCACATACCTCCCCACACATGTCTGTTTTGGTCAGGACAAACAGCTGCGTGAAGGACCAATGTGTAGGCTAAGGTTCTGGAACCAGTCTACTTTCTATGAAAATACGGAAATTGCCAATAAAACACAGATAGTTCCCCATCACTTCAGAAACAAGACTACTAGAAAAGCAGAGTACTACCATTACAGCCATATATAGTAGATATAATACCCTCTTCTCATTCCACAAAAACTCCAAAATCTGTAGCTGCACACAAAGGTAAAGTTTGCTCTCAATATTCTGTCTCTGCGAATAAGGAAAATGCATCCCTACACCAGGTGATTAGGATTATTTACAATAACAGTGCTGGTACCTATTTTGGTATGTTGTGTATATTTGTATACTATGAATACAGAAAACATATACACACACTCAAGCAAAAAATTGATAGTAGAAAAAATGCTTCACTGCCAATTGTATGTATTAAGTAAATAAACAGATTCTACTCTGTAAGCATAACCTTTTATTATTAGACAGGTCCCTGGGAAAAATAACAAAACAAGGTGAGTTCTCACCTGATGTTTTATGCCAATGGTCTCTTTTTTAGAGTCTAATAGAACAGCTGCTAATGCTTATGAAGGATGAAGTATTCGAAGGATTGTACTTACAGTTAAAATTATTGTGGTGATTCTCGTAAATTATACAAATGTGGGTTGAAACCTGGACTTCCAAGTAGCAAGGCCCAGGTTACTTCACAAAGGAAATCAATAGCCCTGATTCAATTTTTTATATGAAGCAGCCAGGTCACAGAGAGGCTACAGGACTTGCTGAAGGTTACCCAAGCCATGCTTTTAACAGTTCAGAAAACTGAGCTCCAGGGTTCCTTGTACCAGATCAAACACTCACCTGGCCACACAGTCTAGCATGAACTCTCTATACCAGTTCAAACTCCATATTCAGTTTCCCAATTTACAGAATGTTATACCAACCTCATATGGCCAGACTCACACTGGATCACGTATCAGCTGTTTACTTAACTAAATATCATGAAAAACAGGTCCATGTGCATGTCTACAGGATACCCTGGCTAATTTGATTACCATCCTGTACATCTTCATAACGCTAATCCTATCTGCAGGAGGAATGTGCCAGTGTTCAGACAGAGCATCTACTAATGAACACAAAACCACACCCTTCCCCAGGAGCAGCTGGATCCCTGATTTCCGTCGCAGTATGCACCTGAATACCTAAGCCACACAGCAGGCTACGAATGCTTTTGGGCACTGCTCAGTTTACAGCCACAGACCCCTAGCACAAACATATCATTACCCAAAACCCAGTTAACACATCTCCCTTACAACTGGCCTCCACACAGCCCCGGCAGCAGGCCTGTGAGACAACACGAACCCCACTGCCATCAGGTTACTTCCCTGTCCCTGCAGTAGGTTGTGCCTCCGGGTCCTAGGCCAGCCTCCCGCCCTACAGCTTTCTTCCACAGTGTGCTTGTGCGAGACAGCGGGGCAGAGGCGACACGCTGGGCTACGGAAGAGGTTGAGGGCCGAGACGGGCCTTAACCCCCGCATCGAGCAGACGGCGCCCTCCAAAGCCTCGCTTCGGGGGGTGGGATCCCACCGAAAAGATGGCGCCGAGGAGGCGGGGACGCACGACAGAGCTGCGGCGCCAGGCAGCACCGAGGGATGCGCTGACAGCGGGCGCTCGCCGGTACCTTTCAAGGCCTGATGCATCCCCCCGATGCCACTGTAAAGCTCCAGCACCCGCAGCGGCGCCATTCTCCAGAAGCCGGGACCCGGCGTGGGCCTCCCCGCGGCTTCCCGAAGCGCCGCCCGCCAGTTCCGCTGCTCTTTCGTTCCCACCTCTCTGCCCGGCCTCCTTAGGGCCGGCAGCACTTACCCACTGTGTGGCCCCAGAGCAGCGGCTTAATGCGGCTTTGCTAATTGCTCTTTAAACCCCAAAGTGGGTTTAGGCCCGGAGATTGGAGCCACCCCCTGGTTTAGATGGCTTTGATGCCCGCTGAGGTGTCTGTGGGGTTGATGCTGGTCAGCAGCTGTAACATCCTGGGAGTGAGGGCTGAGAAGAAGGTCGTGCTCTCTGCCATGAATCCTTTGGGGTCAAGGGCTCCTTTCAGATAGCAATGACATTCCCAGCCCCACTGCCCTTCCTCAGGCCCTGCATTACGAGTGGAGGCCAAGCCCGGTGGTCAGGGCAGCACCCAAGGGCAGGCTGCAGCCTGAAATAGATTGGTGTGGCTTCTATCTGGCCTGGACACGGGAGAAAAGGGGGACACAGGGCAGCAAAAGGGGATTATCCCTTTGCAGGGCTGTGTGTGCTGTCCAGCTGGTGCAAATGGCCCTCAGCAGTTTTATGTGTTCAATCATTTTGTGATTTCAATGTGCAGTGATGTTTTCAAGAAGTCATTTCAAAGCCTGCACCACTGGTGGAACAGGAAGGAAGGAAGTAACTGATGAAATGGTTCTCATTTGCTCCAACACAACGAAATTGCTGTTGCTACATTGAAAAGGAAGAGATGACTCAAAGACATTGTTGCCCATGGAAAGTAGCTTGTTTTTAAAACAAATGTTAGACAGATGTATTTGCATATATATATATACAGTAACCAGAGTATCTTGCACATTATTATGAGAGTTGCCCACCACATGCAAGTAGACGCTCACCTATGCCTCAGTTTGCAGATTCAGATTGTGAAGATGAAACATAAAAAAGAAAAAAGAAAAAAAAAAGAAAATAAAGAAACCCTGAACATGTTTCTGTGATTGTTTCTGGAGTCAATCATATTTCTGTGGAGCCACTTAGAAACCTGTCAGAAATAAGGTGGATTTGAGAAATGTTTGTTTTTTCTTAGAAGCTGCCTCATACAGGCTGTCATAGTAGCTCTTACCTCTTACCTTTCGGGGGGAGGGGGAGAAAATTTTTAGGTGAAACTGAAGGGCAAAAAAGAGAGAAACTTGCTGCCTTTCAACATGCTTCTCCAGAATATGGGATGCATCAACTGCAAAAAACAATGGAATTAGAAATAAAATTGAAAAGTAAGAATATTGGTCCTTACCAGCTTGTTCAAAACAGTTCTGTCATTCACCAGTGGATCATCATCAGTCTGGAGCTGCTGCCTTATTTGTCAGTGATGGAAGTAAGCAGGTGACTTAAAACAAGAGGTCCAACGTCTACTGCTAGAATTTCTGAAAGGAGGTGCAGCAGCCAAGGTACCAGAGGAGAGCAGCATGCATTGCAAACAGTGGTGGGGCAGGCTGCCTGCACAAATGGCTGATGGAGAACTGAGAAAGGTGGGTGAATTAATGGCGTAACAAAACCAGGAACATGCCAGGTGGAGGAAACAGTCATGGACAAAGAGAGTGATGGCTCTGAAGAAGAGGTTTCAAGATGATGAAGGTGGCTACAAAGATCAAAGTTATCAGCGACGAAGATACACTTCAGTAGCACCCCTTTAAAATGTAGCGGCAAAGTGAAGGGAAAGAAAAGGGCAGCTTTTCGACTACTTAGATTAGTAAAGTGATGAGTGCATTTTACCTCCTTCATGACTATACAGCACAGCAATGCTAGATACTGTGATGAGTGGGAGCTCTAGGCAGCAGGGAGTAGTTAATTTTCTGAGCTGCTCAGTACCTTGTGCAGTTAAAGCTACAGAGGAGGAGTACTTCCCTGTGTGAGACAGGAAGACATAGCTGAGCTCTGTTTTTCCTTCTTGTTTCCCTGCTCCCAAGGTTCACACTTGGGAAGGGTGGAGTCTGTGGAGAAAGTAGCAGAGATGTTTGTACTATACTGGTAGCAGCAGAACATTTCCTGCTCAAGGGAAATCCTCCACCTACCTCCTCAACCAGTAAACTGAAGAAGCTGATCAGCATGCCTCCACACTGGCCACAATAAAATTCATAACCTAGGTTGGGATTTTATTGGCTGCTTTTTGAAAAGAACGGGGAAAAACAAAATTTCCCTAGTGCTCATTTTTAAACAGCTGCCAGTATTCAGTTTTATAATTCTGTATAACTGTGCCTGCCCTAACCTGGTTCTCATTATTAATTGCTGCAAAAAGGACCAAAATGAAAACTTTACAGTTACTTTTAGTGCTCTTCCCTTTCTAAATGTAAAGACAGCATAATATTAACAATCATACTTTTTGGATCACACCTTATATAATAGTATTAAAGCTTTGCTGCTTGTTTCAGAGATGGGGGCAATAGCTGGTAAGTGCCAAGATCCATGGCCAATGGCAACTTGTATCTTTCTTCTTACAGAAGATGAGCTCTGTAAAAATGAGTGTTCATACTTCACTCAGAAAATTTTGCTAACACTTGCTGTCACTGACACAGCACAGCCTAAATTGTTGCTCACTCTTTGTCTTGTGACCCCAAAGCAGTCACGTCTGCAAGATTTCCCAACTGGATCTTCATGACTTGACTTAATGAAATTCGGATATTGTGACAGCTTCTTCTTTCTCCGCTCCGTGCATATAGGATTAATAGGATTCCTGTAAATCTCAATGAATGTTTCATTTGAATAACAGAGGAGATTAATATAACAGAGTTGAATGCCCATCTCAGAACTCTTACATTTTTTAGGACACAAGTATGGGCTGCTTCATATCTGAGTTATGGCTCAACAGTATAGCTGGCTTTAAATAACTATTGATAGCCTTTACTAAAAAGATCTTATTTTATTCTGAACGAGCATATCTATAGAACTATGATAATGCATTGATGAAGCAGCTATTTTCTTGACTGCAATATATTTATAGTAAAAGATATTTTAAGCAGACTGATTATTTGACATTTTTAAAGCATGTGATATCAGCATGTTGAAAACTCCTGCCTCCTAGCAACTAGCAGCATTTCCTCACTGTAGAAGTTTCCAAACTTTGCCCACATCTCTGATGAGGGGTATGATACAGGTAATCATGCTAGATCTGAAACTGTTGCCCTGGTAACTAATAAACAGAGCCAGTGAAACAGCTACATGTGGTAAGAAGAACACTCAAACAAAACCACTGCAGTATTTTCTCTTCTTAAAATGCTTTAGGAATGTTAAAAATGTTGCAGTCATAAATGCTGCCACAAAAATCTCAGAAACATGCAAAAAGCCACTGCCTTAAGATTCTGCATTGTACTTGGCAACTGAAAGATAAAATTACAGACTGTGACTGGACCATATACTCTTGTCCTCAAAGTGAGAAGAAAATATTTTCACTGTGGTATTTCGATAATTCACACCAGCAACAAATGCATACAACAAACGTGCATAAAACATTTTATAGGCATCTCAAACCTTCTGCCATTACATGTAACTCCTCTCCCTGCCCTCCCATCTGCAGCAGAGCAGAGACTAACATGGCCAGGATAGCCTCTGCCTGCCCCAAGCTGTAAGCAGGAGGTTGCCAGTCTGCAGTGCATGTCACGGGGTTTTATTGATGCCACAATAATGCAGCAGTACAAATTGCTTGAAGTTTCCTTTGAATGTAACCCCTCAACATAAGAGGGTAGGTAATGGCAGCTAGCAGACCTGTAGCTGTGAAGTGTTTGTGAGCATTTGCTCTGTATTAAAAAAATGGAGATATGCACCAGATGTTAAAAGTACATTCACAGTGATCAGCCAAAACTTACATTGAGGCAAATGTAACTTTGGATGATGGATGAATAATGGTTCTTGTGTCTGACTGTCCAGTATAACCTACTAAACACCTAAGTGAGGACCAGGAAGAGTATTCAGATATCTCAGCTGTCTAAAAGGGACCCTCATGTTCTGGGTCAGAAATCACTGTGGCTAGGAAAGAATGTGAGGCATGTAATGCAGTCATTGAATTGAAAAAAAACGAGAATGTCTAGCATAAATTATTGTTTCCATAACCATTGGACCAGTAGGCTACTAATAAAACTGAAAACCTTTTGCAGCTTATCAAAATTGTTCTGTACTAGATGTAATGTCTCAGGAGGGAATTTATCAGACTTGGTTTCTGCTGAAGGGATGCTCAGTAAAGGTAGCTGTCAGCCACAGACGTGGCATTTCTGGGAAGCCTGCTGGGCCGTGCGATTATGGCTACCAATGGCTGCGATTTTCATTTATAACACCACGCATCTGCAAGACTAGAAGTGAAACCCACATCAAACCAGGGCTGTTAGACTCTCCCAATGCATTTCTAAGAACTCTATACAGGGGAAATTTATCTAGCTGAAATTATTTAGAAGAGTCATCAGACACAAACATTTTTAACCTTTCTCTTTTCAAATACATTAATCTCTTCATCTGAGTATTTTATTTTTGGGTTCTGGAGCTATGCATATACTCTATAGGGAATAAGGAACAAAAAGACATTGCTTCTCTAATTAAATCTTCACTGTTCTGGTTTAAATAAGTTAAAATCTAAATAAATCTGTCCGGTTTGTTATGTTTGGCTTGCAGGGGTCACCCTGGCTGGATGAGACACATATGTTTATATAATGTTATTACTTTCTTGTTGCACTTAAACATTTCAGTGCTTGACCAAAAAAAAAAAACAAAACCTAAAGGATAAAAAAAAGGCTACTAACAAATAAAATAAAATTAAATTAAATTAAAATAAAAGTAAAGTAAAACCTTCACTGGACTGACAAGACAGACTCTAAGCTCTATAAGGCCCGCTGCAGTCAGTCAGAAGATTACTGCTGCAATGAATGTGTTTTGAATCAGACCCCTGAAGCGTCACAGGAGATGGGTGACAGCAGGCACAGAGCCAGGTGTTCTTGAATAGGGGATCAGATCAAGCCTCTCCGGCAGGATGAGGTAATGGAGTGGGGGATCCCAGCTCACTTGCAGGGGC